GTTTAGGGTTTAGGGTTTAGGGTTTAGGGTTTAGGGTTTAGGGTTTAGGGTTTAGGGTTTGTGTTTGCAGGAGGGCCACCTGGGAGTGGACCTGCTGGTGCCGGGTTCTGTCTCCTCTTCGTGGTTTTCAGTGTCTCCTTCCGGAGTCTCCGGGGAGACTCTGGGTTTCGTGTTGCTGCCGTTTGTGGTGGAGACGGGAGAGACAGTCTCCTCTTTGGAGTCCGCGCGGCTGGCGGCCTTCCGCTGCAGTTTGGAGACAGTCTCCACGCAAAGTGTCTCCTTGCAGCAAACCGCCGTGGCCCCGGCCTTCACCTACGCCCAGAGCGACTTCTACAGCGTCGGAGACAGCCGCAGTTTGGAGCCAGTGGTGGCGGGAGGGACTGTCTCCTCTTCAGCTTTTAGGTCTTTTGTTTTAAATCCGAATTCCGCAAACTTTTCCTTTATTAACTCCATTGCTGCTGTCGAACCCCACAAGGGGACACTTGTGCTGCAGCTGTCTCCTTCTGAGGAGCCGCAGGTCGAAGTCGAAGTCCGCGGCCAGGGCCTCGTGAACTTCGTCTCCGCAACTGTCTCCTTTCGACTTGCATGCAAAAACGGACATTTTCTAAAACACGGAATGTGTCCAAAGTGTCCCCTCGGGACTTTTAATTCCGTCAGTTTAATCAAACAGACTTTCGAGGCCAACGCACGCGCATGCACGCAGTGTACGTACACCACAAGCACTGTCTCCGAAGGATCCTCCAGCCCCGAACAGTGTCTCTGCAAAAAGGGACACTTCCCCAACCCGGACCCCCTCGCAGACGTCCCCTGTCTCCCCTGCCCCCCAGGTCCGCTGCTGCTGCTGCTGCTGCTGCTGCTGCTGCTGCGGCTGCTGCTGCTGCTGCGGCTGCGGCTGCGGCGGTGGTGCGGGGGGTGGTCGCGGGGCTGCGCTGCGCTGCGGCCGGCCTCCGCCTCCTGCTGCTGCTGCTGCTGCTGCTGTTTTGCTGCTGCTGCTTTGCTGCTGCTGCTGCTTCATCTGCTGCTGCTGCTGCTGCTGCTGCTGCTGCAGGGACGTGGAAAGACACGGTGTCGAACTCGGGGTGTATGGGCAGCGGGTGTCCCGCCAACTCCAGCAGCAACGTCGTCGGAGCTGTCTCCGCAGCAGACAGGAAATGCGCTTGGTCAGCTGTCTCCTTTTGTCTCTTTTGTCTCCTTTTGTCTCCTTTTGTCTCTTTTTGTCTCCTTCTGTCTCTTCTTAGTCTCCTTGGTCTCTTTGTCTCTTTTTTGTTTCTTTTTTGACTCTTTTTTGGCTATTTTTTGGCTATTTTTTGTCTCTTTTTGTCTCTTCTGGTCTCTCTTGTCTCCTGTTGTCTCCTTTTGTCTCCCTCCATCTTCCCCACTTCCTCAATGGCCATATTGTCTCCCTTAAGGCCCCCTTAGTGTCTCCTTTAGTGTCTCCTTTTATTCCCTTTTGTCTCCTTCAGTCTCCTTAAATCTCTCCACTTCCCCCAGTCCCAAAGTGTCTCTTTCTGTCTCCTTTAGTTACCTTTTTTGTCTCCTTTAGTGTCTCCTTTAATATCTCCTTTAATGTCTCCTTTAATATCTCCCTTAATGTCTCCTTTAATGTCTCCTTTAATGTCTCCTTTAATATCTCCCTTAATGTCTCCTTTAATATCTCCTTTAATGTCTCCTTTAATATCTCCTCTAATATCTCCTTTAGTGTCTCCTTTGGTGTCTCCTTTGGTGTCTCCTTTAGTCCTCTTCTCCCCCCAGAATTGTCTCCGTCAATTCCGCCTTTAATATCCCTTTAATGGCCCCTTCAGTGTCTCCTCCTTAACTGTCTCCTTTCACTGTGTCCCTCTCCTTTCACTGTGTCCCTCTCAATTGTCTCCTTTTTAACTGTCTCCTTTTAACTGTCCCCTTCTAACTCTCCTTTTTAACTGTCTCCTTTCAACTGTCCCCTTTCAACTCTCCTTCCCAACTGTCTCCTTTTAACTGTCCCAAATGTCTCCTTTTTGACTGTCTCCCTCTTGGCTGTCTCTTCCTTCAAAGTGTCTCCTTTAAACTGTCTCTTTCTCAACTGTCTCTTTCTCGACTGTCTCCTTCGCTGTCTTTCTCTTTCAACCTTCTTTTAGAATGTCTCTTCTTCTTAATTGTCTCTTATTCTTAACTGTCTCTTTTCCAAACTGTCTCTTTTCCAAACTGTCTCTTCTTCTTAACTGTCTCTTCTTCTTAATTGTCTCTTCTTCTTAACTGTCTCCTTCCTAAACTGTCTCTTCTTAACTGTCTCTTTTCCAAACTGTCTCTTCTTCTTAACTGTCTCTTCTCTAAACTGTCTCCTCTTTCAGCTGTCTCTTCTTCAAACTGTCTCCTTTGCTTAACTGTCTCCTTTTCAAACTGTCTCCTTTCTGCAGCAACCCCGGCTACATCTGGAGCAACAGCCTGCGTGTTGCCTCTCTTCTTTAAACTGTCTCCTCTTTCGAACTGTCTCCTTTCTATCAACCCTCTCCAACTGTCTCCTTTTCCTAACTGTCTCCTTTTCAAACTGTCTCCTTTTCAAACTGTCTCCTTTTCCTAACTGTCTCCTTTCCAAACTGTCTCCTTTCCTAACTGTCTCCTTTCTGCAGCAACCCCGGTTACATCTGGAGCAACAGCCTGCGTGGCTGCATGTAGACTCTTTTCTCTAAACTGTCTCTTTTCTCTAAACTGTCTCTTTTCTTTAAACTCTCTCCAACTGTCTCCTTTTCCTAACTGTCTCCTTTTCAAACTGTCTCCAGCTGTCTCCTGTCTCCTTTCTGCAGCAACCCCGGCTACATCTGGAGCAACAGCCTGCTTGGCTGCGTTTTGACTCTTTTCTCCAAACTGTCTCTTTTCTTTAAACTGTCTCTTTTCTTTAAACTCCAACTGTCTCCTTTTCCTAACTGTCTCCTTTTCAAACTGTCTCCAACTGTCTCCTGTCTCCTTTCTGCAGCAACCCCGGCTACATCTGGAGCAACAGCCTGCGCGGCTGCGTCTTAACTCCTCCGGGGATGTTTTCTCCTGGGGGTTATTTGGCAGCTGGTTTCGAGTGTCCCCTCAACACGACAACTGTCTCCGTGACCAGTGGTCCATTTGCTGCAGTTGGAGACTGCGCATGCAGTGTGGGGTTTGCGCCTGCGCGCGGGGATCGTCTCCTCGATCCCAGCTCCGCGGAGCACCGCTTCCGGAGCTGGATACGATCGATCCCCGAGTTCGCGGGAGTCGGAGACTCCCAGATATGTGTCCCCTGCGGACCCCACAGCTTCAAGGAGACAGTTGGCGCAGCAGGCTGCAGCAGCTGCCCCGCTGCTGCCTACTGCAGCAGCAGCAGCAGCAGCAGCAAACGCAGCTGCAGCCGCTGCAGCCCCGGCTTCTACCCCACCGAAAACGAAGACATCCCCTGCGGAAAGTGTCCCCTCAACAGCTTCTGTGTGGGGTCCAGTCCCCTCCAAGTGTCTCTTTTTCCCTTCAGAGACTCCAAACAAAAGTGTCCCTCCGAGGCCCTCACGCTGCCCCTCGACGCCCCCAACGACCACCCCCTCAAGTGCCTGTGAGCCACCATTGGAGACACTTGGAGACAGTTGGAGACAGTTTGGAGACAGTTGGAGAGATAGTTTGGAGAGATAGTTTGGAGACAGTTTGGAGAGATAGTTTGGAGACAGTTTGGAGACAGTTTGGAGAGATAGTTTGGAGACAGTTTGGAGAGATAGTTTGGAGAGATAGTTTGGAGAGATAGTTTGGAGAGATAGTTTGGAGAGATAGTTTGGAGAGATAGTTTGGAGAAGTTTGGAGAAGTTTGGAGAGAGTTTTGGGGAATTTTGGAGATAGTTTGGAGACAGTTTGGAGAGATAGTTTGGAGACAGTTTGGAGACAGTTTTAGGGAGTTTTGGAGAGAGTTTTGGAGACAGTTTTGGAGGGTTTTGGAGATAGTTTTGGAGATAGTTTTGGAGATAGTTTTGGAGAGTTTTGGAGGTAGTTTGAGGGACTTTGGAGGTAGTTTTGGAGACAGTTTTAGGGACTTTTGGAGAGAGGTTTAACTTCTTTTGGAGACAGTTTTAACGTCTTTTGGAAATAATTTGATCGGCTATTGGAGACAGTTTTGGAGACAGTTTCGGAGGCAGTTTTAGGGACTTTTGGAGACAGTTTTAACGGCTTTTGGAGACAGTTTTAACGGCATTTGGAGACAGTTTTAACGGCTTTTGGAGACAGTTTTAAGGACTTTTGGAGAGAGTTTTAACACCTTTTGGAGACAGTTTTAACATCTTTTGGAGACAGTTTAAAAATCTTTTAGAGACAGCTTTAACATCTTTTGGAGACAGCTTTAACGGCTTTTGGAGACAGTTTTAGGGACTTTTGGAGACAGTTTTAGGGAGTTTTGGAGACAGTTTTGGAGACAGTTTTAGAAGATTTGGAGACAGTTTGGGGGGCCTTTGGAGACAGTTTGAGGAGACAGTTTAGGCAGCGCTGGAGAGAGTCTTAACAACTTTTGGAGACAGTTTTAAGGAGACAGTTTTAAAGAGACAGTTTTAAGGAGACAGTTTTAAGGAGACAGTTTAAAGGAGACAGTTTTAAGGAGACAAGTTTTGAGGAGACAGTTTTAGGAGAATAATCTCATCATGGGGCAGTTTAAAGGAGGCATTTAAAGGAGACACTTTAAAGGAGACAATCAAAGGAGACAGTTAAAGGAGACACTTTAGAGGAGATAATTCTGAAGGGTAGCTTTAAAGGAGACAGTTTAAAGGAGATATACAAAGGAGACAGTTTAAAGGAGATATACAAAGGAGACAGTTTAAAGGAGACAGTTCTAAAGAGTAGCCACTTTAAAGGAGACACTTTAAAGGAGACACTTTAAAGGAGACACTTTAAAGGATACACTTTAAAGGAGACACTTCTAAAGAGTAGGTTTAAAGGAGACAGTTTAAAGAAGACATACAAAGGAGACGTTTGAAGGAGACAGTTCTGAAGAGCAGCCACTTTAGAGGAGACAGTTTGAAGGAAACATACAAAGGAGACAGTTTAAAGGAGACATATAAAGGAGACAGTTTGGAAGGAGACAGTTTAAAGGAGACAGTCGGAGGAGGCAGTTTAATGGAGACAGTTTAAAGGAGACAGTTGGAGGAGGCAGTTTAATGGAGACAGTCAAAGGAAACAGTTTAAAAGGAGACAGTTGGAGGAGACAGTTTAAAAGGAGACAGTTGGAGGAGACAGTTGGAAAGGAGACAGTTGCA